GTGGGAGCTAATTTAAATACCATTTCATTCATTTTTACATCTAAACCGATGGTGCCATATCTCAGCCATACATGTTTACAAAACAGTTGGGTGATGCATCTGAAAGACATTCAGAAAATACTTCTCACTGCTGCTACCGAACAGTTGCAGAGGGAGTGAACAGGTGCGTGGGGTAAGGATGGTTGATAGTAGGTGATGGCACATTGCTTTTCAAACTGCTACTCCTGTTGTCTTTGCAAGACGATGCCTGTATTTCCTTGGAAGAGAGGAGAGGAGAGGAGAGGAGAGGAGGTTACTGATATCAGTTACTGGGAAGACCGGGACCTCTCTCAGGACCTGAACAGGAACATTCCCAGATCCCCTGAAGATTTATCCTTTCCCTGCCATAGTTCTGCTGGCCAGAAGACATGCTTGTCTGCTCGTAGCTTTGCACCATCGCAGTGTAGTGATTTATTAAACAGTGTCAAACTCCCTTGTAATGTTTGCAGTGGATGCTCTGCAGGTTTTGTTCCACAGTGGAGGAGACTGAAATAACTATCAGTGTCCAAGACAGTCTTGTATCCTAAACAACGCTGAAGGGCGCCAAGTGCCATATGGCAGTGGAATAAGTGTTTCCCACTGTGCTCAAATGCTTTTGGGAGCTGAGGGGGTCACAACCTTTGAACTCTCCTGAGGAAGTGCACCTACCGCACAGGACTGGGACCAGGGCAGGGATTCGTGCCGATGAGGGTATTGCATGCGAGTCAAAGTTGGCAAGGCGGAGCGCAGCGCACGTGGAGACCTGACTGGTGACTACGCTGCGTTGATCTGAAAAGCATACTAGGATGCAGACTGGCCACGCAATGCTGTGGGGGAAGGTTAGGGTTAGGGTTGGGGCAGGGAGCAATAACCAGCTCATTTGGGCATGATTAACTTAATTAATAGTATGTTATAGATAGCAAAGGTACTTCCATAAGCCAACCAAACAGGTAGACACGAACTTTCTCCTCTCGGTCAGAACAGCGTGGGTTCCTGGAGACAAAAGAGACTGGGATATTTATTCATAACATAAAATTGAAGCGATAAGGATGGATAATATAAACACCTTCTTTGTGCTGTGGTGTGGGCTGCCTTCCTGGGAAGGTCACTCTGACAATACCCCAGGATGTACTTGCGCTGTGTGTGACTTGCTCTGAGGCTCTGCAGTATAATCCGTTCTTACATCTGGGTGCTGTTGTCAGGGGTTCAGGAAACTTCTTTTTGTTACTCAGTCGTAGACCTGTTCTCACTGAGCAGCGGGAAGAGTGCATGTGACTGTTAAAACAAGAGTGGAAAAATATGTATCTGGAATATGCATTGCTTTATCCTGCCAAGCTGAGTGTTTATTGTGGAGGCCAGACACATCTGTCCTTCTCCAGCAGATATCACGGTGTTTCTTGGATTAAAAAGGCAGACTGCAGTGGAACGGTGGAAGAAATTGCTTCAGAAAACTCTGACTTATTGAAGTCTTATATCATATGGACCCTGTCAAGAAATGCTAACAATAATAAAAGAGGCCCTTTAAAGGTGGCACTAGGAGAGATGAAAACAGTCTTGCTTGATATTGTAATTGCCTCGGAGAAATCCTGCCCAGGATGAGTAGCTGGGAGTTGGTTACTTCTTTTTTGAACCTGGAAGGTCAATGCTTCACTTTTATTCCCTCCCCACCTCCAGGGGTTTCATGTGCAATAAAAATTGGGAAAGAAATTGCTTTGGAAGAGAGAACGGAGACTTCAGTTGCTGACAGCCGCTCTAGCTGAGGGGCTGGGAGCTTGCGGTCCTCCATTCTCCAGGGTGAGATGGAGGAGCACAGAGGCTGGAAGTTATCACGACCTGATGCTGCGTATCCTGCATGGCCATGTGGGTGCTGAAGGCAGGCAGACTTGGGCCCACAAGCTACACCTGAGCTGGAGTTTACTGGGAGGGTGATGCTAGTTATTATAGCCCTTTCTCTGTATGCGTTGCTCTGAAGCGTGTGGCTTGGCTGGGTGTGTGTTTTGAGAGAACTATTGCTGTCAGCATTGCACTAAAGTGCTACTATTGCCGTACACACTCACGTGCTCTTTGCACTTTCAACCTCTTGCAGGTTTTTCGTGAAAGGCTTGGAAAACGGCAGTGTTGGCTAAACAATTTAGTTAGATCAAGGATAAGGAATTCTTGCTGGAAGCCTGACAAGCACCAAATCATTTTCATATATTCAGGCCTCCTGCTTAGTTACTGCCAGGGGTATTCCGCAGTTTGATGCAGACAGTTTTATGTGCATGGCTGTGAATAATGTAAGCGTAGCTTGTTTAAAAACAACGTAGAGCCCAATCTTCTGAGCAGTCTAGCTCAGGTCACTTGGCCTTAATCAGATGAATCGTGGGGTGAATTCTGTCTACCACTGGAGCCCGTCAGGGGTGAAATCCCAGCCCTTGTGAAGCCAACAGGCGTTTTGCTGTTGACTTCAACAGACCAATATCTTCAGCCTCGGAGCGTATGCTTTCACGACACGTGGGTGAAGCATGTAGTCAATATGGTGGCATGGTAAATTGTAGTGACCAACTAGGATGTGTTGACAGTCTGCTCTCTGGGAGTCTCTATCAAGCACAGGGTCCTGATAGGGAGATAACAAGAGAAACAACAACTTTTCATGTGACAGATTGATATGATAATTTACAAACTGGAGCAACACGGCAACATGTGCTGGGGACTTGTATAGTAATGTCAGAAACCATATTTATTTTGTTTCTTGTTCCTGATATGGTCAGAAACAAGCCTTGCCTTTTGATTTGTATACTGTATAAAAGTGAAAGTTATCAGTTAACCAAGCGAGTTGCCCAGCATTTCATAAAACATGCCAGCGTTTCTAAAAGAAAACCTTTGTGAAATGAGGCCTGATATAATAATAAGGAAATGTCACATACACAGGTTTATCTATGTAGCACCTGTTCAGAGGAAAGTAAATTTTGATAATCTTAACCTAACGCTAAGTATCCAGCTGCTATTTGTTGTGACTGTGCCTTTGCAGGCTAGGGAATCAAAGACTTTTAACTCGCCTTATCGTTCTATTCAGGTCTGTATTTGAACTGCAATGTTATGTATTTTATAAGGCTCTATTTCACTCTGGCACAAGGGCTTAAGGTCCAGTCCTGCAAAGTGCAAAATGCCTTTAGCCCTCGCAATGAAGGCAATAAAATTGAGGGTGCTCAGAAGATAGCACAATCAGGGCTCAAATCCTACCCATGGTGTAGGGAGAGCAAGATCAGAGGTGCCTGGCCCGATAGCAGAGGGTACTAGCAGAGCTAGGAAGGAGCTCTGCATTGGTTAGCATGCTCCCTAGGGGAAATGGTTTTGAAAGTTTCTGCACTTCAATTTACAACAATGCTTTACACACTAATACGCTCTCAGGGTGTTGATGTAGGTAGCAGTAAAATGTGTTGAGCTGGGTGGTGTCTTGTGGGATCTTCCTCAGCCTCACAATCCTTCCGGTAAAAGATATGCCCTTGTCCGGCCAGCCCCACTTTCCCAGGCCTGACCGGGCAAGGGAAGGATTGGGCTCGAAAGAATATTTTTCGGGAGATGGAAACCTAGCTTTATGCCTGCTGTCTGTTACAATAAGCCCCATTGTTGTCTTTGGTGGGTTACTTGGAAAGGATGGAAAATGCAGATTTAAGAGGCATCCCCTATTATGGATGGCACAAGCCTTGGTTTTAAAATGCCCTGTTCCATGAAGTGCCCTTTATAAAATCAATATTGTATCTGTTTTAAATAACATCTCTTCAAATCGTTTATCAGGTTTAAAAAAAATAGTTTCCGTATCAATTGAAAATAAATACATATATTTGGCCCTTACAGATTAATAGAAGACTTGCAGCTATAGATAACCTTGGAGAACTTTAGGCTGTGCATTGAAAACAATAGAAAATCTCCCCTGGGAAAGAGAATTCCTTTATGCTAAGCACCTTGCTGGTCTATACCAAGAGTGCAATTGAGTTTTAACATATGTTAACACGCTTTAACTAATGCAATCAGTAATTGTAACATAGATAAGGAACTGTTTTACTTGTCATGTTTAAGCCTGTGGCAATTACGATTATACAACTATAATGCAGATGAGCCCCAAGAGAACCATCTGGTATGATTAAATCTAGTTTCTCATCTGAATTTTTGTGGCATTTCAGGTGCAGATTTTCCACTTGAAATGTTTCACCTTTGGCCAATTTTTATTCAGATTTGTAGTTTTTAGGATAATTGGATGCCTCAGTGCTTGTTAACACGCTATAGAGATTTTCACCTTTCAAAGTGCTAGCTTATCTGTGCTCTGGGCTATTAGTGGTCAAGTGATTATAATTTGATGGATGTTGGGGAGGCCTCATTTAATTTCTAGTGCGCAAAGTCCCATAATAGAAAATCTCTTTACTGTAGCTACATTAAGTGGTCCCTTTATTGACAGTCTCAGTAGAGAACCAGTGATGAACAAAGTGTGTGATGAACCCCTTCTCATCGCTAGAGATGCACCTTTTACAGTGGAGCTGAGGAGGTGATTAGGAAACTTTCCCTTTGGCTGCTTATGATTGAAAAGTTTCTGTGAATTGAGAGAGAATTGTACTCTCTAAGGCTGTCAAGCCAGCAGCTTTCAGAGGGCCCTGTGCTTACCCTACAATGATTTCTGAAGAATAAATGATACATTTATTTATACTGTTGGTGTCGTGTGTGAGGACAGCATTGCAGGATCCAGTCCTGCTGCTCTTGATTTCAGTCAGAGGGGACCCAGCCCCATTGACATGAACTATATTTGTAAAAATGCATTCAGCCAAGCTACTGGTTTTTCTTTTTTATTACTTCTGTTCAACTCAGATTAAGCTCCTTATCCTGTTACTTCCCATTCTAAGAACATGGCTAATACGCTGCATAGGGAAACACTCTGGATTCTTAGTTTACATGTATAGCATGTCATATTTCAGCACCATGATGAAACCGTTCCAACTTCTCTTTTCTAGGGCACAGCTTCTGTTCTTCAGCGCAGGTCGGATAATGAGGAATACGTAGAAGTTGGACGACTTGGCCCATCAGATTATTTTGGTAAGAAAAATTTGATTCCATAAAAAGCATGCAAAGGGAAGGTGGAAGAACATAACTGATCTCCTTCTGAAATAGTTTTCTATGTTTTAAACAACAATGGGGACAAACAGAGTAAGAATCTGCAGTCCCCCCTACCAAACAACTTCCCTAGTTGTTCCACATTTACACCGGGGTAATAAGAAGAGAGGGGCCCAGAATCGTTAAAACATTAGGAAGGCGTTAGGCTTCAAGGCTATTTAGAATGGCTTAACATGGTATTTCTTCCTGTTTTTAGGGGAGATAGCGCTACTGCTCAATCGGCCCCGGGCGGCAACGGTGGTGGCACGTGGGCCGCTGAAGTGCGTAAAGCTGGATCGTCCTCGCTTTGAACGCGTGCTTGGTCCTTGTTCCGAAATCCTCAAGAGAAACATCCAGAGATACAACAGTTTCATTTCTCTTACTGTCTAAATGATTCCACTGGAAACATGCCTTTGTGCTACCTTGTGCACTTAAATTTGATCTGTGCAGCTCCATAGCTTTATGATGATGAAACAACAAGCGTGCATTTTATGTGTATTTTTCTGTTTATGTCCGAGGCACTGGATACAAATCCATATGTTCTGTATCATTAAAGTAGGGAGACAACTGTTAGAATGAGACTAGCGTTGAGGAACCTTGATAAATCATGACTTTTGGCTTACAGGCAAGATGGCGACAGGTTGCCAGGTAAAATATATTAACAGTGTGTTTTTAACTATTTAAAATGCACATGAATCTCCATTTCTCACTTTATTGTAGCTCTTTCTCCTTAAAGTTAGCTCCTTCTATCTTTTGTCCAACTTTTTTTTAATGAAGTTATATCCCTCAGCCTGGTGGTTTCATATACCCTTCGCTGCTAATGGCCTAAAGGTTTATAAAGCTCCACATGATAAATGACAGTTGCACATTTGAAGGGAGAAGATAAGGGAAAGCTTTTCATCATTCCAATGTAACAAGGAAAACAAGGAGCTTTGATCACTCCGTGATTTCAGTATCCTGAGCCAGAGCTGTCCCTGATGCAAGCACTTTGGAGTCAGTGGAATTACACCAGGGATTATTCTGGCTAACTCTCTGCTCTCTATTCCAGTTTTTTTTTTAAATGTGAAAACTCCAAGGCTTGCTGTGTTTAAGTGTAGCCATTAATTCCTGGAGGAGTTTAGCTTTTTTAACTAGGCTGAGCTACTACCCATGGAGGTCAATAGGAGCTTCTTCATTGGAATCAACAGGCTTTGGATCAGGTCCTAAGACATATGAAGCACCGCTTTGTACACTTGGGCTGAAATCTTCAGCAGCTTTTATGGATATTATACACACAGCTTGAGAGAGCTTGCTGGAAAGAATTCCTTAGCCTTTTCAACGGTGATTCAACATGATTATTTTACACATGGCCCCTTTAATTCATAATTAATACAATTTTCTGAAAGCTAAATACACACTTCAAACTGAACCATCGCTAAATTGTGTGTGCTTCTTATGTTGCCTGTCTGCAAAAAGGCTTGTACTACATAAGCAAGGGGACCAGGATGCTTCAGTGAGCTCTCTACATAGGTCACCCCATAGGTCCATACAGGTACAGGGGTCCTTTTGGATGGAGCCTCTTGTAGGGCTAGTCCTTAGTCTTCTGAGTCACCATCCAAGAGAACAAAATTCAGTAATTCACTTCCCACTGGAGGAAAACTCTTCACCATGACAGTAGTAAAGTTCTGTATGGCTATAACCACAAATGTCATTTCCACATGTTGATTATGGCAAACCCGTATTTCCATCACAGCATCCTCTTGTTGGAACACAGGAAGAACTTTCCATGCCCTTCCATACTGAAATTATGTAGTTAAATGAAGCAGATATAATCATTGTTAAATCAGAGGCATTAATTAAGACTGAATTAGCAAAGACTGGAAAAGTTGAGTAGACTCTTTTACCAAATTGAACAGAAACTTCTAGATTTGGTTATATTTTCCCACCAGTTTTCATTTGGTGGGTCTCAGTACTTCAGTCCTTATGAAGATACATGATCCTGTTGATCTCAGGAGCTGGTCCTCTCATTATTTCAAGACATTTAATTTATTTAATCATATTTTCAGTGATCCTAGGAATCTATATTTATGACCATTATTTATTACGATTATGTTATGCTTCCTGCATGTATTTTTAAATGTGATTATTCAGACATTTCATTTTGCAATTTGCAATTTTATGGAAAACATTTATATAAACAAAAACCCACTATATATATGTATATGCAAAACTTATTATTTGCTTAACTGTTTTTGTATTTTCCTGTGTAATTTTTAAAAATGAATTTTAAAAGAGTACCATTCACTCCTATACATTGTTTTACCTATTGCATTTCAGTTGCTGTATTGGTAAAAACTTGAGAGTGTTTGGTGTAATATGCAGGAAACGTTTAACCATTACTTAAACACTGAGTATTAATCTTGCTGTTCAAAGAGTTAACCACACACACACACACACACACACACACACACACACACACACACACACACACACACACACACACACACACACACACACACACACACACACACACACACACACACACACACACACACACAGTAGATTCTTTACTATAAATCTTTAAAGATCATAGAAACCACATTTAAATTATGGTTCTGTTTTAAAACAATCCTAAGAGAAGCGGAACCATTTAATATCATCTTTTTTTTTGCTCTAAGTGAAATAAGTGGCATTCTATTACATTTTAAAGATAATTGTAACATTTGAAATGGGTGATGGAACAGAATTATGGTATGAATAAAATTCTTCTACATTATATGTGGTGCTTGTGGGTTTATTAATAGTGGCAGTCATTATTAGGAGAACTAATATCTGGAATAGGATAAAACAGAAGTCATTTTCTATTTAAACATCTGAATACTATAATACAAACTTAAGCTCTGTTAAAAAGAATGAGACTGAAAGGGAGAGGAAAATAATTTCAGTGTCTCGGAAATGGATACTGAGATATTTTGTCTGAGGAGCTTGTAAGGAAAAAAAACCCTTTGGTGTTTAAATGTAACCATCTACTTAATTTCTCTGTCTGTCTAAGGAAACCATGGCACTGTGGAAGCCCCTAGTACCTCCGTGTTTTCATGCAGACCACCATTCAGCTTAAGCAGCTTGGAGCAGGTGAGCGTTCTCACTGGTTTTAGAGACCCATCAGAAAGCCATGAAATAAAAGGACACCTTATGTGCTGATCCTGTGGCCCGGTTTTTTGTTGAGAAGCAGCCATTTAGTTGCCACACTGCTAACACTATAGCTGTAGTCCTGTGTGTCCTCCAGACAGTGGGCCTGTATAGCCTCCATGGTCCCTCTCCCAGCCTGCCACTAATGCCTGGAGCAGGCTGCAGGAGTTGCGGTCACTCGACAAGATCGCTCTGTGGTATCCTCCACGCAGTGCAATCTTGGGTGGTTCCTTTGTCTAAGTCTGTCCAGCTTTCCATTTTTGGAATCTGTTATTTTTCCCCCTTTGCTATGATTCAGGCTGTAAGGATTCGTCTTTCCTGAGCATTACTCACTTCATGCAGTAATCAAAAGTGACCACTTTCTCTGAGGTCCTTCCAGAATGGCATGACTATCCCACGCTCCTCCAAAGAGTATCTGACCACTTCTCATTGTCACTCCCAGCGTGCTTGTTTCAGTTGGGTTTAATTGTGCCACAGCCGTTTGTCCTGGAGCCCTGTTCATGCAGAAGAAAGTTGGTTTATGGAATTAATTGTAGCCTGAGAATTATTTTAAGAGACACATATGATTGACCATGGTTTCATCCATGGATGCCATATGACCTATGCATGTAGACTCAGAGGTTTATGCTACTTTCTACAGATTTGCAGATGAGGCAGCTAAAAGCATACAACTGTGCCACACCCTTCAATCTTCAGTTTCTTTTTTCTCCCCAACCGAGTCTAACACTGTACAATCCCTGGGTGCATAACTGGACAAACTAGAATTTATTGAGGATAATAAAAAGGTTTGATTAACTTTGTGTCTGGTTTGTTTGCAACAAGTATAAGCAAAGGGTGAAATTTCTCCCCATGGAAAGTGTTAGCACAGGGGCAAAGCATCACTTGAGATAACCTGAGTCCTGTATTGAGCTCTTCAGTGGCACAGGAAACCTTGTGCTCATCTCCTTGTTGCAGAGGTGAGTTTTCCTCCTTGTGCTTATTTATCATGTCGTATCAGAGAGACAGAATATCATCTCTTGCTATAACTATAGAGGCAGAGCCAAGACATTGATTTTAAAAATAACCATTGATCCTATTGCCATTGTTTTATTTCAGTGGTTGTATTACTACTTTACTAAATTACTATTGTGAAGGGCTGGATAGTAGAGTAGTAGGAGGAATTGGTCACTGTACATTGATCTGATTCAAGCTAATTGGTTTTACATGAGCTCACCTCTTATATATATTTTCACCAGTCAAAGATCAGCTTATTCCTTTAGGGACAGCAGTATCTACCTTTAGCACCCAGACACATTTTGTTGATCTATGATCCCAGCAATCCTGTATCTGTCTATTCCTTTTCCCTACCTGCAGTATACACACCCACCCACAAACTTGCAGGGATGTTACCTGCATTTCTGCTGGTTGCATTGCGTGTGTGTGTGTGTACATGTACATGTTTGAGAATTCAGCTATAAAATGTTGGAGTCACAGGAATGCATCTGCTTGAGCTGTCCACCTCCAGGCCTGTTGCACATCTCCTTCCTGTAGAGTTTTATATGGAACATAAGGCTTACATGACAAGCTGGCCTTTTCTGAAAAAGCTGGCTAGTCACAGAGCCGGCATCTGCAGCCATCTGGCATTTCTTGGAAAGCTGAGGATGTTTTGTGCTTGTTCAGACGCCAGGATCAGTATCTGAAAATCTGGAATCAACTTTTTAGAGATAGCAGTTTGCATGCTACCTTATAACCTGGGAAAGCAAAGCAGAGCATGTCTGCTTCATCAGATCTGCTAGGGTCACCTAGGAGAACTGCATAGATTTTGGTTTTACAGTCCTCACCGTTCTCTAGCTCCTCCCCAGCCATGTTTTAAATCAAGAGAAGAGAATTAAAAAAAATAGGTGAACCAAGGGAAACTCAGTATTCAATATAAACAGAAACCCAAGTAATCCACAATCCTGGACTTACTCAAGTTTAAACTAAAGTTGCAGGTTTCTCTTTTTAAAAAAAGACAGGGATTTTCACGGGGGAAAAAAATAATCACATTGCCCAGGAAGACTGCTCATATCCTAGAGCAGAACGTATCCAAACATGGAGTGACAGCGTGCCATTTTGTTGCGCGGGCCAACAACACTAAATGAATTGGCAGACATTGTGCTTCGACATAATTTCTAGTAAGTGCGCTGTTAGACTACTGCCTTATTATTTATGCTTTCCACTGGCTCTTTTGGTTGAAATGCAAAAGTACCTTCTTTGCAAAAAGAAAAGAAACCAAATATTATTCCATTCAGCCTAACATTGAGAGGACTTAATGACTGTATTAACATTGTCCTTCATGGGTGCTAACAGTTTCCTGTCTTTTGCAAGAACTTGCACACATGGAAAGTGTAGACTGATGATGAGATAGAGATTTTCTTGCTGCTGCCTGCTGTAGCTGGTTCATGCTGCTGGCTCTAGGGAAATCAAGCTGAATGCCTTTCTGGGAAGTGGCTACTCCCTATCCTCTTTATACAGCAAATGTATTGTTATTATTTGAAAGAACTTTTGTATTGCCCTTAGACTACAAGCATGGCGATTGTTCAACTGGAAGACATCATGGTGCATAGCAGTGAAATACGATGTACAGTACCATGCAGTATGTATTTTCCAGATAAACTGGGAAAATGGTGAAGTGAATCTGTCAAGATTTGGGCACAATAGCTGCTTTACAGTCTTTCATACGTGTGGAATTTCTGTGTCCTATGGAATGACTGTTCTGACCATGCCTTTAAGATAATTGGATGATTAGCTGTCTTTCTAGTGGTTTCTTACATTTTTTATCTTCCAAGTCATAGTTGTGGTCCAAAGACAGAATGGCACAGTCCTTCAAACCTGTCTGAAGTCTGATTTTTGCTAACTCCTGTTGCAATGCCACGTTCATTCTCACCTAGAGGAGGAAGAAAACAGGCTCACACTTAAAAAATGAAGCGAACCTTCTCCCCTTCAGCCTCAAGAGCTCCTAGCTGCTTGCCAAGCTAAGGACTGGGCGTTGCTTGTAGACTATAGATGACCTGATCAAGCCATTCCATTATTTCACAAATCTGCAATGTCCCCCCACTATCCTTTGACTCTGAACTGGGCAGTGTTTTGTAACAGAAGAGAAGCTTAGATGCTTCACCCCTCCAGTTTCACCTGACTGAGTGCTGATGCACACTCGCGGTCTTCATTCAAAAAGCAGTTTTCTTTCACTCGCTGTAGTCTTGATACACAAATCCATACCTGTTATCATCCTCCACCTGCCTACAGCATAATCTAGGACTAATAGTCAACTAATAGTCAGACAAACAGCAACCTGCCAGGGCCCAGAGTGTGTGTTAATAGGCCTGCCAAGCAACTGGTAAGGCTGGGGATATGGGAAAAGAGGTAGAGGCTCCACTCCCTAGCAGACTTCAGATTACTACCAGCTGCCAGTATATCCACCACCAGCAGCCCCACACGTGCTGCTGCTGTTGACAAGAGTAGTCAGATGTGCCCAGCACATGTCCCGATGGTCCAGCGGGGGATAATCTACCATTAGATGGCAGGATGTTTTGCGTCCTACACACATATCCAACCCAGCACCGCACCCTCCATTGTTGCTTGAGTTTTTGGCTCAGAGCCCAGGAATTAGCTCTTAATGAAGTAAGAAAGTACAATATTAACTGAGGATTTTTTTTTTTGAAGTATCAAAGTTGCCATCAGCTCTTTCGGAGCATGAGAACTGGCACAACAAAGGCATATTTGTGAGGGCTGCCGAAATGTAGCGGAACCTGTGCTTGGATAAAAGCTGCCCCATCAAAATAGCCATAAACAGTCTGCCTCCTCTGCTACAGAAAAGCTGCGATGCCAGGAGCATATTAAATTGTATATGCTTTT